GTTGGGAAAAGGGGTTTATCACACCAGGAGACCACATGGAATATGGACAGGAAAACATCCCTGGCTTTCCAAAGGGGGCATCCCATCTTTTCCTGTCCCAGGAATGGGCTGGTTGAGGAGCTGTGTTGGGAAAAGGGGTTTATCACACCAGGAGACCACATGGAATATGGACAGGAAAACATCCCTGGCTTTCCAAAGGGGGCATCCCATCTTTTCCTGTCCCAGGAATGGGCTGGTTGAGGAGCTGTGTTGGGAAAAGGGGTTTATCACACCAGGAGACCACATGGAATGTGGACAGGAAAACATCCCTGACCTGCCCTGGTATTTTTCCATGCATTTTCTTACATTCCCTGATATTTTCCTGTCTGTAATCCCTTCAAAACAGGGCCCTGACCCGACTCCCTGTGGCAATTCCCGAGGCACAGCAGGAGGATCCCACTGGAAGGTTTCACGCTCACCCTCATTCCCGGTGTAATTCCTTTTCCCAAAGGCAGCTTCCGGCAGTTTTTTCCTCAGGTCGGACAATCCCATGACGTGGCTGATGTCCAGCCTGGGAGGCCTGTGGGGAAACAGCGGGATGAGCAGCAGGAAAAGCTTCCAGGATCAGGGATAGCAGGGAATGCTGGGAATCCTGTCCCTGTGGAACCGGAGGGAAGGTGCAGCTTTCCCAGCACTTGGCTGATTGGAGGCTCCTGTTGTAACCAGGATCTTTAAATCCTCAAATCACAGGTCCTGGAAGTGTCCAAGGCCAGGTTTGGAGCAGCCTGGGATAGTGGGAGGCATCCCTGCCCACGGAAGTGGATGATCTGTGAGGTCCCTTCCCACCCAAAGCATTCCATGATCCCATATCCTCATCTGGCGCCGAGGGTTGTCCTGACAGAGACAAAAATTGGTGCAGGGACCCCCAAAAATTCCAAGGGAAGGAAGGAAAAGGCCGACTCACAGCTGGGCTGGGAGGGAGGAGCTGTAGGGGGTCCTCAGGGTGATGTTGCACAGCAGCTTTCCCTGGATGGCGAGTTCTCCCCTCCATGGGCAGTACAGTCCTACAGGAGAGAGAGAGAGAGAGAGGGAAAACAGCTCAGGAAAACAGCTCAGGAAAAGCAGGAGAGGGGAACAAAGTGATTAAAGCACATTTACGACACAAACCAAACCCAACCCCCAGAAATTCCTACCTTGGTGGTCGCGCTCGGGCCTGCGGGGAAAGGAAATAAAAAGATCATTTAAGAATGGGGAGGGGAAAAAAAAAAAAGGG